AATGTTTCAACATTAGGTTAAAGACAAGATTTATTTGCCCTTCGAAGTCCAATGGAAAGACTGGAGGTTTCACAACTGCAACGTTGTATCTCCCTAAGTTTGAATGGCGCCATCTCGTGGTAGAATCAATTTCTAATTAAAAAAGCAAGATGGAAACTATCGGATAAATAGATCATTAATTCCAGAGGCGATGCTCCCAGGGGGGGGGGGGGGGGGGGGGGGGGGGGGGGGGGGGGGGGCAGGTGGGGGGGGGGCAAAGTGCCCCCTGCCTATTACTTTATAAATGTGCCCCCTTTCCTTTGACAAGTTCTAATTTTCCTCTGCAATAAGTGTCCATATTCCATTCTTATAAGTGCCCTTTTTAAAATCTAGTAAGTGCACTTTTCAGGTACGAGAAGTGGCACCGTTTACCTCTGATAATTGCCTTTTTCATATCTCAGAGGTGCCTCTGTTACTTTGACAAGTGCCCCTTTTCCTTTGTAAAAGGTGCCCCGTTCCCTTTTAATATCTACCCCTTTTTAACTCGGATAAGCTCACCTTTTATGTTTACATGTGCCCCTTTTCCTTTCTATCAAGTACCCCCTTTTTCTTATGATAAGTGCCCCCATTTAACTGAAAAATGCCCATTTTCATCTCTTGTAAATGACCGTTTTCAGGTACGAGAAGTTACTCCTTTTCACTTCAGTTAAGTGCCCCTTTCACCTCTGATAATTGTCTCTATTCAAATCTGAGAGATGCTCGTTTTACTTTGAAAAGTGCCCCTTCCCTTACTAATAAGTTTTATTTTCATCTCTGATGAGTGTCCCTTTTCAATTCTAATAAATGCCCCTTTTATTTTGACACGTGCCCCTTTTCCTTTCTAATGAATGCTCTTTTTCCTTTCTTATAAGAGCAGCTTCCCCCTTTTTCATAAAAGCCCCTTTTCACCTCTGATAAATGCCCCTATTAAATTCTGATCGGTGCACATTTTCTTTCAATAAATGCACTTTTCCTTCGTTATAGGTGTCTCTTTCTCATTCTCATAAGTGTCCCTTTTCATATCTGGTCAGTGCCCCTTTTCAGGTGCGATATGTACCCCTTTTTACCTCTGATAATTTCCTTTTTAACAATGATACGTGCCTCTTTTCCTTTCTAATAAGAGATTGCCCCTTTTCACCTCTAATAAATGCCCTATCAAACTCTGATGGGTGCCCATTTCCCGTCGACAAAAGCCAATTTGCCTTTCTCATAAGTGCCCTTTTTCATCTCTGTTGAGTGCCCCATTTTCACCTCTGATAATTTCCCTTTGTATTTTGACACGTGCACCTTTTATTTTCTAATACGTGTCTCTATCCCTTTCGATACGTGTCCCCTTTTCCTCTCATCATTACACGTGCCCCTAATTTAAAGCGACCAAGAACAATTTCCACCAAATGTCGCTCGCTATCCTCGCTCGAATTTATAGATGATATGATTATGTTACTTATCAAAGGTCTTTTCAGTCGTCCGTTATGACAATGTGCTTATAACCCCATCAGGATTGGGGTTCTTCCTCTTTAAAAGATGTAATTTTTCGCACTGCGACCTCACACATTTGAGAATTTGTACTCACTTGCTTCGCTCGCTCACATAAGAATATTCAGACCATCACACCCGACTGCAAAGTATGATGCTTAATGGGATAGTTGAGTTCTGTTTTCAGACTGCAAATGCATTCAAAGTGCGTGCTTATTGCCCTTATTCATATCTTTGACATTTCTAGTGCCCTTTTGGGACCTAAAATTGCTATGAAGGTAATTTTAGACCCCAAAATGTGTAAAATTTAGCCAATACGATCATACCAATTCAGCTCCACTTAAAAAAAAAATACTTTGACCGTTAATTAATTAATTAATTAACACTAACTATACATGGGCCAGCTGGTTGTGCTTATATATAGCTAACACGATAAAGCCAACAAAAAGTCCAACATCGGCATTGGTTGAAATACAACCTAAAAGTCGATATTTCGTTTATTCAACGGTTTTTCAAATTCTCGAATATTTGTGTTGGTACACAAATATTAGAAATTGTTATGTTTATGGATATTTAAGCCGTCTCCGAGCCGATTTTGATCAAACAAATATGATTTTGTCATTTAAATTGTATCTTCTTTCAAATTTGTCACTCGGTTTTTCATTATCTCACAAACAAATTATTTTGTGTAGCGCCCTCTGCAACAGAACTCTACTATCCCTTTAAAGCAATATCTTGTATAATTTATAAAGAGAAACAAATATTGAAATCATACCTGATAATGTAATCACAATGTAGGGGTATATACCAACGACTAAGAAAATTGTATATTTTCGCTTTGAGATTTCCCTTTGTAGGTGCCCTTTTTCAGAAAATGCCCTTTTTTATGGTGCCCCCCCCCCCCACACTTTGGAAGTTGCTCCGCCGCCCCTGATTCAGTCAGTATTAGCTGCATGTTTCTATTAAAAAAATAGCTAAAGTGAGTTGCAGTTACGGCAGCTATTTATCACCCCATGCTTTCCATACACCGCATCAAGTAGGGCGAGTGCTAGGGTTGTGGCTAGTTTAGATACATGCCTCAACTACTGATTAAATAATGCCTACCGAAAGAAATACCGTCACCGATGCCATATTAGTCAATAATCTGATCGATTTAATATTGAATAATCCCCACCACCCCGACGGCTTGCAAGGGCTTACGACTATTTTGCAAAGGCCTACGATTGTTTTGCGACAATGACAACTTTTTACGAACCCTGGCGGAAACCCCAAATTCGCTACGTTTGCAAGCATTCGCCGCTTTAATATTGAAATACCCCCTGTACGACTGCAAAGTTTTTTGTAACGTTTTGCTGGCATGTTCAGATTTTCCAACCAATTATTAATACTCGCAGGTAGAAGCACAAACGTGCTTTTTTGTTAGCAGTTGCTTAACAAGACTAGGAATAGCTTTTTATTCCTTTTGAATTTTACCCAAAATAAAAAGGAAAAATTTCACTATTTTTAACAAACGCTTGCCAGATTGGTAGACGGTCATTTTTAAAAGGATGAATTTTCCTTCCTTCTTTTCTTTGGTAAGTGCAATTTCCTGTTTTACTAACTTATGTCATGGTCAAAAGTTAATGGCTATTTACCTCTGTCTGCAGTGCCGGATCCAGGATTTCCAAAAAGGGGTGGGGAGGGGACGAAGCAGACGTATACGGAAAGCGCACTGCGACTGCGTAAGAGAGAGCCTTTTCCCTTGGGGTGCAGGGACAGAGCCCCTGTCATGGACCTGATAGCTCTGGAGTTTTAGCACTTCGGAATTATCAGAACCTTCAAGAAGCTGTCTTGATCGATAAAAACACTAAACTCCCTCTCTCTCTCTCTCTCTCTCTCTCTCTCTTAAGGATAACTTTATATATACATCAAATTGTTGTCATGGGATCCACTTCTGTTTTTACGGATGGGGTCCAGGGGCAGAGCCCTGTCGGGGGTACTAGGGAACGGTGGGTATAATATGCAGGGCATGGCTCCCATAACAACAATTTTTTTTCGCTTGAAGTTTTTATGATAGTCAAGATCTAGTTTAAAAGGAACTCTTTAGTCCTAAACGCATGAAATCAAGTCCGAAATAAGTGAATCATGCAGGAAACATCGAATTTAAGATGACCCATAAAATACTTGACAAATGCTCTCGTACACAAACGAAATACATGTATCCAATTCATTTGTATACATCCCTCTCTTTATACTTAGTCCTCATGACTAGACTAACTCATGTTAACCTTGAACATAGTCGAAAATAAAAACAAACAAACAAACAAAAATTGTTAGATATGGCATCAGTGTTATTCATTTACTCCAACTATAAAAACATGAAGTAAAGTTGATTTAGTCGAACAGTATAGAAAGGAAATATGCTGCAGTAAATGCTAGAAGAAAAAGAAAAAAAAAACACACACACACACACACAAAGATAGAGATGATGAAAGATACATTCAGTGGCATATTACTGTATTTCGCCTGTTCATATCTTTAATTTCAAGGAGCATTATCTGATCATATTTTGTAGATTTTAACAGCAAAGATATTTTATTTGAAAAAAACGGCGAGTATAAATTTCAATCTCATCTCAATACGCTAAAGTAAATATCAGAACATGACAACATTCTAAAACCAATTAAAAGTATCCTTTTTAATTATATGTTAAATTACTTTATACAGATCTAACATCTTATTAACATTACACTCACTTGTGAAGAGAAGGCTGAGAGCTGGTACAGGGATGAGAACTTTGAGTTTTTTTTATTTCTTTTGAATGTGTTACTTTCTTTTAGTTTGAATAATATTACGGCAAAAATGTCCTCTGAAATAAATTGCTCTGCAATTGCCTTTAAATGTGAAATAAAACGAGAAATAGCTAAAAGTGTTGGAATAAACTTTCAAGCCACACGTGTGTGTTCCATATACTCAATACTGTAATCACTGAACGTGACTAAAATTGAATATCCTTTTCCCTCATTTTGATGATTCTATAACCTCAGCGTATACAGCAATTTTCAAATACTTTGTAATCAACCTTTCCCAATTATCTCCAGACATTTGCTTTAAACATGTATTTTGAAGGGCTTTAAGTGCCTATACATCCCCCCCCCCCAAAAAAAAAAGAAATAAAAAAAATAATAATAATACAGCGTTGGCATCTGTGACGGAGACCTAACCGTTTAATAGTGGCGCAGTTTGTATACCAAAATAGAAAGAAACCTTAAAAATTCTCCCAAACCGTCAATTGTCTCTTGCGATGAAGCGAAAACACGATAGACTGACTAATGGACTGTGGAAAATAGAATCGGTCATCCATGCCACACCCTCGGAACGTTATGATAGCCCTAATTAATCTATGCTGCTAGCACTACTAGTTTCCAAGGTTTTCAAGATTTTTTTCAAAGAATTCAAGTTATGGTCTTATCCATACAGATATATCAAGGAAGCTTCGAATTTAGAGTACAGACGAATTAGGATTTCTAATTTGGGACCACCTTACAAATGGAAGGCATCACGTATTTATCACAGGGAGTGTCGTTCCAAGGCTGGAGGATATCATCTTCTGCGTCCCTACGCCACAAATGGGCGCAGTCCTCGTCGTTACCGTAGTTGTCCGGCTGACCAATCATCCATTGCTCGAAGTCTAGACCGGATCCATCAGACCAAATGAAGGGTCCGGTTAAGCCTTCTGTTGTCTGGTAGGCACCAATCCAAACCCCATAGTACGGCGGCTCACCCTGTCCAGGACAACAACAAAGAAATCATTAAAAAAAAGAGAAAATCAGTAAAAATCAAATAAGAAGAAAAGTGAATGTATCATTGCTTATCAACTGAATGTAATATGGCTTCTTATATAGCGCTCATATCCGTGACGCTGTGATGCTCATGCAGGCGCGGATCCAGGATTTCTTAGGGAGGTGTGGGGGGGGGGGGGGCAATTCGTTATTGTTTTGCTCCTGAAAATTTAAAAATTGCGCCGGCCGAAAATTCGCTCAGTGGGGAGGGGGGGGGGGGGTTGTAAGCACTTTTTTGTTGGGGGGGGGGGCCTTCGAAAATTTCAAAAATCGCACCCCGCCCCCCCCCCTTGAGCGCCAGGGGGGCGGCCCATCTCCAAAAAAAGGCAAAATTAACTTTCTCACTCATTGTTTTTATATCCCGCTCTCTTTACTTACCCCCTCCCCTCTGTCTGTCTGTCTCTCTGTCTCTCTGTCTCTCTCTCTCACACACACACACAAACACACTTAAACTCTGCATCTCTCTTTCTTCTACTATAATAAATCTAATGTATTGTTTCCACTTAGTACATGTTACATTTTTTTTGCATTCATCAGAGGGCGTATTGTTGAACCACGGCGAATATTGTTTAGTTCGGAAAGCACAAAGAATGTCAACCAAATGTCTCCAACACTTTCATCAACTTTGATTCCATATATTCATGATACTACAACAGTTCGATTTTTTATTTTGCAATACGTGGGAGGCCCATGCCTATTTTTTTCACGAAAGGGCTGTACTATCAGGGGACATTTGTACTTCATTCCAAACTGACATAAAAAAAGACGGAAAAGTTCACAAATCTTACACCTTAACCGGACCTAAACCATGCCCATGAAACTTTTATTAAAGGTACTATGTCCCATTTGCAGGCCAAAAAAATGAAAAAGTTAAATTCCAACTGCATTTGAAAGATAATACTAATTTAGAACTTCCCTAAAAAAGGTGGGGCTTGAAAATGTCTTCAAGTGGGAAAATAACGACTAATAGTTGTCAAATCGACTTTAGGGCTATAGAGCCCAAAAGTAATAGTCTTGATTTTCGAACAATAAATTGTACCGAATGGTCATACGTTTTATGCTGCGCAAAGATTCAATCAGTTTAATCTTGGCCATCACAAGAAGTGGGTTATTGATGTAGAAAAATGCTCATGTACCCTTTACAACTCTTTCCATGTATGTAATTACCAAAGAAGAAAAGAAGGCCAGTCATGCAGTCACTCAATAGTGTCTGACAGTGAAGTCTAGCAAGTAAACGGGTTTCCTTGCATAATTTGAATATAAGGACACTGCTAACGTTTAAATATCACAGATAGGACATACATGACATATTCATAATTCCTGCAAAGTTCTACAGCATTTGAGGTTGGCTGCAAAAGGGACATAGTACCTTTAAAGGGCAATCCAACCCTTGTAATACGTTCATTTTGAATGAAAGCAGATAAGCCAGAGAAGCAGAATGGCGTAAGTTTGAAATGTATTTGTCCAATAGTTCTGGATGTTTAAAATATGAGATCACTTCAGCAGCAGTTATGCGAACCTCAAATTGTAAATTTTGTCAGTGGATTGTGATGTAGTGACGGATAACTCTCTCATTTGTCGAGTACAAAAGTATCCCTAATTTCTGTTTTTATCCCAAATGCCTTCACCCTTTGGGCACTATTCAAAATATAATTATGGAGAGTATATTATTAATACAGGTCCTCAAAAAATAAAAGACCATCCAAAGTCATACATTTTTCGAAAATCGAAATTTCAGTCATTTTGTGCGTTGGCACAAGTGGGAAAGTTGTCCGCTTCTACGTCCAACTTGAAGAACCTATACCGATAATGATTGTAGCTTTCAAAAATTCATAACTTTCTCAATTTTAGTCCGATTTCTTTAAAACTTTCACCAGTGTGCTTTTCTGATTTTCCTGATTTCTTCTAGAGTTGCTTGCTATCAAGGTTAGATTTCGTTTTCATTAGCAGTCTAAGCTATAGTAGGTCATTCATATTTACAAGACCCGGTGTGATGCTTGCAGAAGAGCGGAAAAGGTCGTATGCGAAGGCGTTCTCCTGTTCCGTGTGGATGGATACTAAATCAGCCCTTCCATTCAAGGAATAGTGATCCCTGCAGCGAGCCCGAGCCTCTAGCCAAGTGACCCGCTCCCCGAAGTAACGATAGCAGTTCCCGTTGAATAAAAGCCAGAACTGGGGGCATGGATGACACGCATTGGCATCTAGATCTAAGCCGTAAGCTGCCACGGCTAGAACGGCCATTGATGCGAGCAGAAGCTTCATGTTGATTACTGGAGAGTCAAAGAAGAAAAGTGAAAAACTATTACAAATTAACGACTTTTAAGTACACCCAAAAATGACCAATCATGTATGTTTAAAGGTAATACAAAGTTTGGGGAATTTTTGAAAATTGGATGGTGGTGATTCTTTTCAATTTTGATAAATTTGGAAGCCCCTGTGGATGTAATATAAGCACTAGAAAATTTAGCCCATAAAACAATTCTGCTTTTGAGAAAAATTAGATATTTTTTTTTTTTTACCGATGCTCCCGGTAAATTCTGATAAATTTCAAATAGCGCCGTACGGCCATACAATGGAAGCTGCGACCATAAACATTTCAGAATATGTAGTTGTGGTATATCATTTCCAAACGGGAATAGCTAATCGGTCGATTTTAGTCAAGAAACATTGTTTTATAGCTTAATTAATATCTTGACCTTGAGAGGGAGCTATACAACTTAAAGAGTTTATTATTTATAATTTCATAACTTTAGAATCGATTTCAACCGCGACAACGATCATTGAATATTGTAGGATCGCATATGCTTCCAATATATTCATTTGAACCAAATTCATGACCCCATACCAAAACTTTGTATTACCTTTAATCTAGCGTACCATAATTTTACTAAGGACGTTGCCCCAACCTCATCGCCAGGAATTTTGGACCAAACCTCACCTAGCACCTAGCAATGTAATAGCCAATCCTTTAAAGACCGTGAATACTACTGGGCCAGAAGGGATTAGACCACACAGCGAGGTCACTGACAGGTGGCTGTCTCATTAACTCAGCTCTCAACTAACATAAGAAAAAGAGGACATTGGCGGACCAACAGGCACTGATTTGGGAAGTTTTTTATATAGAGGGAGCAAGTAGCTACAAGTAGGACAGTGGGGCTTTAATGTCTGTAGACTCATACTGAAAAGGAGTAAGGGTGACGGTTTTCTTCAGAAAAAAAAAAAAAAAATCTTAATTAACAAAGGCATCTTTTCTTCTGTTCGTAAGAGATTTGAGGACTTCTTCCTCGCCCCCGGCAAGAAATTCTCTGTCCGCCGCTGAATATTCTAGATAAGTTCATATGGAAAAGTAGTGTCTTTTGGTGAGTCTCGAACGCATGCTCGCGCGCATGTATTATAACCAATGGGCACAAGCTTCAAAAACCGTTCTTTTGTCAAAGATATTGGTGTAACTTTGCAATGCTGCAAAATACAAGGCTGGCGCGAACGGTATTTTCTATTGTATATATTTTGTTCTTGTATTTTTCAAGAATATGAGAAAATAATTTTAAGTATTTGCGTCGGAAATGGCCTCGAAAGAAAGAATTTCAAGTGAATTATGACACCAACCCTTCCATAGCAATGCACGTACTTGCACAATTCGAAGCAGGAAGCATAATCGATAACCCCGTGTTTGAGACTCTGTATCCCAGCAACGGATTACCCTACGCATAAAGCGTTTTCACTTTCCTATGCGAAATTTATCCCTCTCTGTCATATTAAATCATTCATTTATTGCAACCATGAGTTGGATTTCATACAGTAAAAAAGGCAGGCATATAAATGGTTCACAATATAGTTATTTGTATATATACTTTGTACAATAAAACTGTATAAATTGACACTTTAAATACATAGATATGAAAAGAAGAAAAAAAAAAGAAAGAAAAAAAGCACTCAAGAGCAATCGCATTTAAACATAATTGTAAGGTACATAGGACTTCACAGGACCAGTAATCATATATCAACTGACATCAACGTATTGTTCAACAATTAAAATTGAGAAAGATGATGAAAGAAAGAGAGAGACAGTAAACCCAAATTGAGTGATGGTAATAATGCATTATTCCTAAAAATATATCCAGTCAAATTCAATTGGTATTAAATTTGTTACATTCTAAATTATTTTGAAATTCATATAATAAGCAAATGTGTAATTTAAGTAAAACGTTTACACGGCACTTTAATTCAATATAAAATTGGCAATAATAATTAATAATTAAATTTAATACCCTGTACAAAGCTTGAATATAAGTACCACCCAGTTTGATACTAATAAACCGGTGTCGTATAATAATGACAAATATGTAAAATAACATTTCAACATAATTATAAGGTACATGGGACTTCACAGGACCAATAATCATATATCAACTGACATCAACGTATTGTTCAACAATTAAAATTGAGAAAGATTTTGAAAGAAAGAGAGAGAGACAGTAAACCCAAATTGAGAGGTGGTATAATGCATTATCCGTAAAAAAAAAAAAAAAAAAAAAAAATATCCTGTCAAATTCAATTGGTGTTAAATTTGTTACATTCTAAATTATTTTAAAATACATGTAATAAACAAGTGTGCAATTTTAAGTAAAATGTCTACACGGTACTTTAATTCAATATAAAATTGGCAATAATGATCATTAATTAAATTTAATACCCTGTACAACGTTTGAAGATACAAATAAAACGGTGTCGTATGATAGTCACAAATAATTATGTAAAATAGGATTGATGTCTTCTTATTAAAATTATTACATTTGATTAACGAGAATATACTCAATAAAAAGGACAATAAAAATACATTAAATTTGGCAAGATCATTGTAGATTAAACAGACACCAGGGTATGAATCTATTTTTGTATCTATTAGTTTTGCATTTGGGAGGGTACAGGTCTGTGCTGTTCCGAAGAGAGTACCTTGTTTCTCTTGGAGCAGGAAGAAGATGATTTAGCATAAGACTGGGGTTACGAATTTGGGTAAACAAATTAAGGCATAGTTTTTGTCTACGTTCAGAAAGGGATTGGAGGTTAAGATATACAAGGGCGTCAGATTATGATAGTCCAGGTGAAATAATTCTAACTGCCCTTTTTTGGATTGACTCTAACATTTCGGATTGTTCTTTGGTCAGACCTCCATGAAATACTAGGCAAGCATACTCTAACACCGATCTAATGCATGCCACATAGTATCTGCACATATCAATCTGATTTAAACCTGCCCTTCGTAATTGAACAAGAAGGTACAAGCGTTTTGCTGCTTTAGTGTAGGTTTCTTTTACGTGGGTATCCCAGTTAAGTTTGTTATTGAGGTACAAACCGAGTAGCTTAACTTCCTGAACCCTCTCTACTTGATTTCCACCGATGGTAAGATATGGTAAGTTTGGATCGTCTTTCATGAAGCAAACAACCATTTCCTTGGTCCACACAAAATCAAGCTGGTCTAAAAATTCGTCGGAAACCTTGAAAAAGTAAGAAGATTAATCTTTTTCATTCAATCACATTTGGCCACCCTCTATTAGCATAGAGAGTTATGACGTCATATATCACGCCATGACTAGGACTGAGACCGCACCAATGCACTGGGGGTTTCATTGCCATTGTTACGTTTGTGTATCTGCATTGCACTGGCTGACAATGCGCTGTGACTGAGAGAGATTCATTGAACCATGCAGTGTCATGACTCATCATGGATCTGTTTTATGGAGAAAATTCCCAACTCTACCCAAAGCTTCTTCAGTGCACACATTACTATGTGTTATCCCTCTGTACACTGAGCTTAATCTAGCTATATATTCGCTAATGGACTTGTTGATTGTATTGCTGTCACTAATATTCTTTGGGGGCGGGAGTATTAATAAAACCGGTAAAAATAGGGCCCAGATCATTGTCTTTGTTTAGCATTAGTCATAAGGTGCGAATGGTCTTGCATTTGAATGGACTTGTTTACAAATTTGATGCATACTTAAAAATAAAAAAAATCTTTCTTCTGACGACTGAAAAGCTCGACAGAGAGTAGCCCGACATGCTAATGAATCGAGAAAACATTACACATAACGACAACGTATGATGTGGACGCAGTACCTACATCCAGATTCATGTACAGATAGAAACGATGACGAAGATGATCCTTGATAACATATCCCGTTTCTTGTAATCCACACAATTAACATGATGTGTCTTTGGAGAAAAAAGCAATGCTCTTGGCGGTTTAAATTAAAAAAAGAAAAATATGCCGTTGCATTTTCACGATTTTTCACAAATCCTAAGGACAATTTAAAATCGATATTTCACTCTTCCATCTACTCTCCCTCCCCTACAACCTCTTTCTCTCTCTCTTCCTTTTTTTTCTTTCTCTCTCCCCCTCTCCCCGTCTATCTTTCCTCTCTTTGCCCTTTCTTCTTTTTCCGTCTTCCGATGGGGCGGGGGGAGGGGGGGGGGGGCCTTACATGGCACCTAAGCTACGCAAGTTGTCATGTGTTTTCATACCATTTGCAACTTTTTCACTGGCAGTATCCATTTTAATCATATAAAAAAGCACATAACAGTGTTTTCTGCTTTGTCCCCAAAGAGCCTTTACTAGAAGTGCTTTTATTTTTATTTTTTCCTATAAAAAACACATATGCATAATATATATTGCTAGAAAATCCTTGTCCTAAAACCTGATGTTTTCCAACTATACTAAAGTCAGCCCCTATCTGTTTTGTTTTCTTCTTCCATCCCTCCTCTTCTTTCTCTCCTCATTTTCTCTCTCTTCTTTCTCACTTATACTCTATATCTTTTTTTCTTCTACGCTAAGAAACCTTTTTTTGTTTCCACTTATGGCGTGTTTCTATCTAAAGCCATTATCCGGTTAATGGCCGATAAGGGATACATTTTTCCTAATAGAAACACACTTTCTCCGGCGGTAGGGACTTTTAGATTCGCACGAAGACAATGTGGATTGATACGGTCGACGTCCTTGTAATGCACTGCCTTGAATGGACGTCACACGTATCAGTCCACGCAAATCTAAAAGTCCCTATTATCCGGATAATGACGGGGAGAGCTTTTTTCGCGTTCACCGGCAAAATTATTCTTCTTTTAGAAGGATAATGCAGGGGAAGCTAACCGGATAACGTAGGTAGAAACACACCCCGTTCCGATTGAGTGCACATACCGGGGAGAAACCGGAAATAGGAGTGATCACGTGATCGGAATATTTTACCCCGACGCGCGCGACACTACAA